TTACACTACAAAAATAATAGACATCTTCTTTCAGCTGTCTGTGAATATGTTTTTGTTAGTTTGATTTCAGTTGATAAGAGTACAGTAGTTTTCATTTTCCCTGCTGTTTTAAATTTGGCAAATGAGGGAGTAAGGGTGGACGTTCTGCTAAGAGCATCTGTCTGCAGCATGAGGACAGTCTGCTACGCTGGGGGTTGCAGGTACTCAGACACACTGGCCTGCAGATGGTCAGTCCATTGCAACAGGGATGCCCAGCACTGAGCTTATACCCGGTCAACTTGACTTTTCCATACTAGAAAAGGAGTGGCTGCACATGATTGGAAGAGTTTGAGATCGGTTTGTTCGGGAAAGGCCATGGAAAGCTGTACACGATCAAATTCGATATTTACGATTCCAAGCTGGCGTTTAGAAAGGTGAGCAATAAGGATAATACAGAACCTGAAGCCTGGATTTTTGTGCTGTATACAATATCTGATAGACCCACTGGGAAGTCGTGACCAGGATCTGGTAGCTCTTTGGTACACTTCTGATCTTTAAAGCTAGAGTCTAAAATTAAGGTTTATAATTCTGAAAAGGCAGACAGAGAAGGCACGAAGCAGAGCGATGGGGAGATGAAATGGGCACAGAATCAAACAGAATCAATAGAAGAAGGAGGGTTATACTTCAAAAACACAGTGTAAGAGACTCAAATCTATTTAATCCCAAAAAACAAATAAATCTACATCAGTGAAAATATGACCTAAGTGGTTTAATGGAAAAATAAAGAAAAAAAAAACAGAAGGAAGAGAGGAGTTCCAAGGGAACATGAAAGGGATCTGTGTGTTTATGTAGATTCCTCCATGTCCTCATTAGGATGATGTGGGAAAACAAAAAACACACACAGTGCTTGAGAGCATAGTATAAAATGTGTGACATTTAAATCAAGAGAATTTATGTTTAAAATTAAAACACATTAGTAATGCCTCATTTAGACTATTATGTTTAGTCTTGATTACCTTATTAAAAAAGGGATATTGAAGCTTTAGGAAGAATTCCATGAAGATCGTAAAGAATGATTCTGGGTCTCAGCGGACTGCTACATATTGTCACAAAACCGGAAAAAGACTCATAACAGCTAAATCCCTCTAGTCTTGGTCAATAGAAATTGGGACGCGATTCTATTCAAGTATATCATTTATTTTGGTTTCAGCTGTTTAGATCTAATGAGGGTTCATCAATTTCACACCCTGTATGATATGAAGAATACAGGATCGCTGATGGAAAGGGTGAACAGGGAATGCTTCCTGAGGCAAAGGGTTATTGGTATCGGGCACTGGCTGCCCAGAGAAGATACTGAGGCCCAAGCTCTGGGCCCCTTCAGGACTGGGAAGAAACTTTAGATTCAACAGGTACTGAACCAGCAAGAAATGCTGCTCTGATTCACGGCCCTTTTCTGTTCTTGCTCTGCATGTTCTTTACCCCTCTGCCCCCTTACACTGCAAAACTATTGTGAGAAAAATACTGATGAGGATGTCCGTCTGGCGGTGTGATATCAGTATCAATGTGAGTTTCTAAATGAGAAATTGAGCGTTTAGAATAGTTTATTTTTTTAACTCAGCAGTTCAGAGTACGTCTTGCACGCATCTGTCATTGTTTTCTGCTGACGGGAGATGAGTGTCTGGTCTGCATTGGTTCCCAGCAGCGGCTGTACAAACCTGCAACAGCCAAAACACATTTCACTCTCTGCAGAAGCTGCTCATGATGAAATCTATGGGGGAGAAATCCTAATAATATGTTCTTGTTTTTTCCATAAATATTTGCCAATTTTTGCCTCATGTTACTAGAAAACAATCACTAACGCAGTACTTATTGACATGAAATCAACCGTCTAAATGTACACTATACTGTATACACAGGCAATAAAACACATTTTTTACTTTTCATGCCCCCAATTTATGAAGAGCTACAGTATATGAATTCCCTTTCTCGTTAGGTTTAGGTTTTGTGAATAAAAACAATAAAGTTACCAGAAGCGTAGTTGTATACTGTAGCTATGCCTGATCTTTAAACTTAAGAGCAATCTTTTGGCTCTGGTTTGGGCTTCTTCTCCCAGAGAGCACAAAATAATATTGTGTGGGGTAGAAGGGTCTGAAAGGAAGCTTGTTGTTTCAAGGGAACATCTGGGACTGACAAGGGAAAGAACTGTTTCTTCTTTCTTAGATTATGTGGTTTCCTCCTTGCATTCTAATTTTCAAACTAAAACACTGCTTCATGGAGAAAACCAAAATGGTATTGACACAGCTCTTCATATTTCACAGTTCAAAGCACAACGCTGGAAAATTGTTACAGGCAATGTTTCTGTTTGATTTTGTGAAATTTAATGTATTGGACACAGCCTTAAAAAAAGAAAAAAAAACTCCTCTCTCAGCAATGGTCAAATACACTGGTAAACATAGTATGTTTTTCTTATCTAACAATGTTTTTGTTTTTTATCTAGCAAAGTGGATGTGTGTGGTTTTATTAGTATTGTATTCGTATTGGCAGATATGTTTTAGATGGAAATCTCCAGCAAGGTGGAGCCAGTGTGACTACAAAACTTTTTACACTCTGCTGGTGAGCTCAGTCCAGCTGGTCCATTCTTTACAGTAAAATAAGATACAATTGTCTCCAGCTCATTGACTGTTCTATTGTCCACAGGCTTTCATCCACAGGTAGGATCCTCAGGCCTTTACCATTAGTGTCTTTGCACGTATGGTCTCAGGCTCTGTGGTCTGTTTTACCACCACCTCTCCTCTGGCCCTCCCAGGACACGTCTGCTTGCATTCTTTCTTCCTTCTCTTCCTTCTCTTCAAACTGATTCTTCTGCTCATGGCGATTTTCCAAACCCCTGCTGCGCCAGGCCTCGCTCTAGACAGGAGGCTCATCAAACTCATGGACAGCAAACACATTGTGCAGCAGAGACTTTATTCAACAAAATCTTTCGGTCACACTAGACAAAGACTTTAACTTGTACCAATGATGACCAAGAGCCCCCTTATGTACCAAACAGCCTAAATTAACCTCACATGAAAATGCGACAATTAGCCCACAAATTAAATTTTCAAACAGACAATACAACTCATGTTAACCTACAGTACACACACACAGCAGAGTCGAATTCAAATTCTAAGAGCTTTATTGGCATGACCAATGAGTCACCATGTTGCCAAAGCAGATACAATTTACACCACAGTTGCAATGGATGGATACAAACATCCATTTGTACATGGATTTGTACACGCATCACATAAAGCATTACTGTGAGACAGGCTCACTGTCCATTCCTCAGGCTATGACAGATCACATACAGTACAGGGCTGCCCCTCTGCTGAGTTTCCTCCCCCAGTAGCATTGGAAGCTGTTCCGATCTGGGCAGGTGTGGGAATTCTGGGACTGGATTTGTTATTTGAGTGGACGGTGGCAGGTCAGGTGCTGCCGCTATCCTCACTACAGCTGGGCAGCCACACCTGCCTTCACTGGCTTCCTGTGACACACATGGATTCACCCTCCAGGTGTTTCTCCTCGCACCTACTCCCTTCTGTGCCCGTCCCTTCTGTGCATCTCAGAGTGGGTAGACTTCCTTAACTCCAGTTCAGCCAATCACCAGTCCCAGTGTCCTCCCCCAGTCCTGCTCTTCTGCGCTCATACAGTCAACTCCAAATGAGAAATCTGTGCAATGAACAGATCAGAACCGTGAAGAGGTCTCAGTCGTTATTATTGGAGTCTCTTCAAAGCCTTAGGCATTCTTTCAAATAGTATTGGATATTTCAAAATTCTCCCTTTCTGACGGTAATGTCAGCCTGTCACCAGCCCACTGTACAGTACATCTCGCAGCAGGGTGGGGACAGTAACCTAACCACCATCATTGTGTGGCAGATCTCAAAGAACCAAACCGTAACTCTGGTGTACAGTGAGATGAAATTCCTAATTACTTGTGGTGCTTGAGAACTGCATCTATAAAATAAGAATTAATAATGAACTGTATTCATACCGCGCTTTTTATCATAAAGCACCCCAAAGTGTATCGCCCATAGGAGGGCAATTACTTAATCTAGCACTGAAGTCTCACTGTGGTGCAGCGCTGTGCGGTGAATAGGATTCGACATGGAGAGCAGAGACATTTAGTACATCTTCCGAACTGCTACCCTGATGTAGAGGGAAATAGAGAACTGCCCATGAGCCCAGAAAGATGCCCATGAGCTACAGTAGTTAACAGAAAAATACAACACAAAGCATATAAAAATGAAAACCAAGTGCAGAAATATAAACAATAGAAAACGGGCTGCATGTCCCAGCATTTAATTTTTAATGACTGTGTTCTTTTAAATTCGCATTCCGAGGTTTATTGCTGTAATACGCCCCTACTGGCCCTACCAAGGCTGCTGATCACCACATCCTTGTCTGAAACCCAGCCTACCATCCCTTCCCACACTGAGCAACTGCAGAAGCCATCAGGATCGCGGGCCAGCTCTGGAGAAGAGACAGGTTAGTTGCTTGGCATCACATGGATCTGCGGGTGTCCCTCTTGTTACACACAGGCTTGCCAGCCTCACAGCGCCAACAGGAATCCTGACTGCAGACAGCTGGTGTCCAAGCCAAGATTCAGACTCCCTGTCTGCATATCTGGGGGCCCATCCTGCGCTCCCAGAGGAGTCTCCTTTTCCACGAGCCTGATAGAAGAACAGTACGGCAGCTGGTGCATTATAACGAGCAAGAACAGAGATATGTGACTGTCGTTTCAAAGTGTAATCACTCATTTGGTGAATAATTGGTAATTTAATCACAAACAAATGTGATTAAAATTAAAAGTGATATTTACTGTGCATTTAAAATAAAGGTGAATAATGTTTAGATAATATTAACAATATAGACAACAACATGAGCTGCAAATGACATTTTATTGAAACCATTCCATTGGTATGTTTGATTTACAAGCTTCCTAAACCAGTTGCCTCTTTGATTTCAGGTGCACCTCAAGGCTAGAAGCATACCGTATGTACAGTACTTCATTTTATTCTTCTGACAGAAAAAAAAAAGATAAACAACAGAGGATCCAGCTCTGTACGAGCCACAGTGGGTTCACACGGCACACATTTCTGGGGAAATGGAAATGAGATCATGGCAGAGATTGGGCTCATGAAAGGAGCGGGACTCTCGGAGAGATGATGACAGAGGCGGCAGGTTCCACTCTGAAGTGTAAACACTGCCTTTCAAGTGCTTCCACACACGGAGACGGCGCTGCTCCGTCCCAGCCCGGCTCGGCCCCTCGCTGAGAGACAGGCGCACACCTGAAAGCAGGGACGAAATAAAGGCTGATTGTTTTTCAGTGGCCTGCGCCAGCACTAGAAACCCTACACTCCCTCTACTCCGCTAGTCCTCTTGTTTACACTGCGCCCCCAGAGCTCTGGCACGGCTGTGGCGCTGGGGCCAGGCGAGGACCTCTGGTGTGCGAGGTCACTGTTGTTTTCCTTCTCTAGCACGCGAAGCGAGAGAGCGGCACTGGTTTCTGTGGAGAAACTCCTCCCTCCCAGGAGCTGTGAGAACGGATCTCTTTTTCCATGCCGCTGGCAGCCGAGGAGCCAGGTAGGATTAAAGGGAGGTTTGGCAGGGAGAGTTTTTACAATTCTAAGGCTTTTCCAAGGCCGAAATTTAAGTTAATGTTTGTGTTCTTCCTTTACAGCATTTTCTTAAAATCTCTTCGATAGATGTGCAAAGTGAGAGGAAAACAAGGAGACAGTGATGGGTGAATGGAAGAGGTACACTACTAAATAAAAGGTAATTGAATTGTCAAAAGGTAATTTCATTATCTTTGTCCTCTGTCTCTCAAATAAACAACCAGTCCTTTCTCTGCCCTTCTTGAGAGCTGTCAGTTGCTGTCTTTGCAAAAGAAAGTTGATACCAAACAGAAGAGGGATATAATCATTAAACAAAAGTATATTTAAAGGCTGTGCACCACCAGAGCTCACTAAAGATCATATTGATATTAAATAAGCACTAGACAAGTAAAAGCCATAATTGCTAAAGCTCACTGTTAAACAAAAAAGAACTCGATTTTTGTATTCACAAAAAGAAATAAGAAATGTTCAAATGTTTATATTCCTTTAGTATTGTCCATTATTATCATTATTATCACTACAAAATCATAATTCGATTTTGGAGGATAAAAGAAAAATCTAATTGGAAGTCGATTCATTTTTCTTTTTTGTTGCTGGCCTCAAAACCAAGCAAAGCAAACAAAGCATTCACGAACTACACAGAGACCCCAGGGCAGGGAGACTGATCAGGGCAGTGAAGCAACAATCCTCCTGAAATACAGTACAGAAAGGAAGAACCAGTAGGAAGCATTCACTAACATTTAATGCAAGCCATGACATTTCTTTTACTGACAATTTCATAATCTCAGCTTCACAAATTGAACAGGACTGAAGCTCCATCTATGAAACTGAGATGTTCCAAGGAAAAGGACCTGCACAGATCTGGAGTTCTGGAGGGGATTACTGGAGACAGCCAGTCCCACTCAACTGAAAAACCCTAGATGCTACCAGAGGTTTCTTTAGGCAACAGGAAAATGTGCTGAATCAATGAATTTCTTCAAGTTTTAAGTCACTACTCAAGACACAGGGATCACTTTCTGCTCTCACTAGAGTACAGTATGTCCAGACATTGAGTAAATTGCTCTAGTTATCTATAGAAATCAAGGAATACTCTTACACTGTTCTGTTATTGACCATAATGCCTGGATGTATTAATGACACTTTAAATTAGGTAATAATTACAAGAAATGATGTTACGAATCATTTTCTCTTTTGTCTTTCCCATTTTAAAAAAGTTGATGGAAACGAAAAATAAACTCTAAAGCTTCTATGGATTGTAAGAAGTGTATAAATACACTAGCAAATCCAACATGTCAAAAGGCATGAGGCATCACTGAAATACATCAGTCCTGACAGACTGGCTTATATACAATAAATTGTCTTTGGCATATATATGCCTCTCTGCTTTAACGACTATTAAATCGAACGCTCGAGTTGAAACCCATATGATGCTGGATTCCCCCCACTGTTGTTGAGGCTACACAGCGGAAACAAACTGAGCACTTGAAGATGGAAGGCATCTGGTTAAAGTCTACCTCAAATAAATTAGTATTTGCTCTCCTCCAGGGATTTTTCTTCATTATCTATCAATCAAAACGAGCCACTGAGCCCATTATCCTGTTCCTGTTCGTATTTTTCCTAACACACCTCACATCGCTCCATGAAATACTTGACTAGGGGTGTCCAGGCTGCACCCCTCCTGCGCACCTTCAGGCCGAAGGTGTGGTGAGAAAGGAGAACACGCTGAGACCTGTAAGCATCTGTAACCAGTGGAGAAGCCACTGTCGATGCCTTTTGTTCAGCAGAATACACTGTGCCCATACTGTAGCACACGGAGAACACTGGAAAAGCCTCATGTCTGCTACATATGGGCAGTAGATCATAAAAGAAAAATGTATTTGTTACGATTCTCCTGGATTATTTTGGAATATGATGTAATCAACACACACCTGTAGAAGCTCCACAGCTTAAACATTGTGTTTCTTTTCTTAATCTTTCAGAATGGAATGAACCTTTACCTGTTCCAAGGATCAGATATGGTATCAGGAAATGCAAAACAAATCATGTTTCCCTTTGTATCACAAACCCAGGAAGGTTTTATGTAACTGGGAGAACATTTGGACTGACATAAGCCACTATTGAGCCAGTGTAGCACACTAAAATAGTATTTTCTGTTAACGGATCCCAAAAATTGAGCTGAGCCACTCTGAGTCCTGTTGTGCACATGCGCCTTTACATATGTGTGATGTTGATCCTTTGTAGATTTGAAACCTGTAACTGTATCTCACTTGCCACGCCTCTGTCAAGGGATGAAGCATTTCTTCAACAGAGGAAGCCAGTATTAATATTCAGCAGAACTACACAGAAAAATGCAAGAAGGTTAAGAGAGATACTGTATGTCAGCCATTGATTTCAAGGAGGGAGTGTTCAGATTTAAGGTTGCAGATCGTAGCTCTTGGGAGCTGGAGAGGGGTGCCCATGCAGTGGTATCACCTTGCAACCTGCCCAATGCAGCTTTGCTCCCCTTTCGGATTCCTAGAGTTCGTCACACGTGGATTTCAAAGACATGAGCGTTTTATGGTTTGAACATACTACTACATTTTTTAATTTAAATTATGCATGTCCTGATCTGTAGAAGAAGAAAATGTTTTATCATTGAAGCTAGCTCGGTGTTTTGCTTGTCCCACAGCAAACCACGTGGTGTCACCCAGGCCAAGACTGCTCAACGGACAAGGCCACAGGCACCACCTACCACTGGTCTGTACACCGACAGGGGAGCAGTGGAAAGGATGTGGAAGTACTTTTAAACCTGGTAGAGGAGGGACTTCATCTTATACAAAGGGCTGTGGGATTCTAGACCAAGCTGTGTAGCAATGTTGTTGGAGCCTGCAACCCTGGTTTCTTTCAAGACAGGGAGGTGAAATACTTGAATCTGTAAATTTTAATCTACTTGTATACAGATTGCAATCAAAGAACACAATGCCTGAGAATCTCTTATTGAAATGCACTCTCTTTTATATAAAAAGTCTAAACTTTCAATCAAAAAATTTCATGAACTATTAAATGCAGGTGGGTGCAGGCTTTTCCTATCTTTCTTTGATAGCTAGCAGCTTCGCAAGCAATAAAATCCCAATAGAGTTTTTAATTGTGTGAATATTAAGAGCACTGTATAATTGCATGTGTAATCATTTTTTTTAGAAACTTGTATTTTGACATATAAGGGTAAATATAACACAATGAATGTGGGTGGGTGAATGTTATTTATTATTTATACAGTATATACCACATAAATGCAGCAGATCCAGAAATCTGAAATGGCTCCCTATTTAATATTGTTTTTTTTCCAGTGTCTTCATAATAAAAAAAAACGACACTGATACCCATCTTTTCAAAAACCTTGGTACTTTGTTTTCACTGGAAAAACTATAAATGAATTAAGGACTGAGAAAACAAGTTCTAAATGGTTTAATGGAGAAATTGTCATCGAAAGGAAGGGAGCGCTCTGGAAGCCCACGATGCAAAGATATACTCTTTGTCCATCGAACTACAGGCTCAGCTGAAAAACAATAACTAAACTGGCAAGAGAGAGACAGAAAATTACAACAAAGGCATAAAACTGCCTTTCAGTACTATAACAGTTTAGGAACTGTGAAACTGAAGTAAATGGTAACTGAAGCAAGCTGGAGAAATGCAAACACAACAAACATTCATAAAACAGTGAACCAGGATACTACAGACAATCCTTCTTTAAAAAAAGGATGACCTACAGTATAAAACTACTGTGCCAAGAAAAAGTTTGTATAATTATAGGAATTTCAATTTCTCACCATGATACCCTTTTTGAATCCAAACTGCTCTTTTCTCATGTAAACTGACAGTCTTTATATTTACCAGTTAAATGTTACTTGAGAGTTTCTTGCGACACAATAGGGTATTTAGTTCAAATGACTAAGTAAGAATTTGTGTATAGTATGTGAAATAAGTGAACCCTTAGTCTACTTAGCAAAAGTAAAGGGACAATTATAATCAGATGTTTAAATAATTGTATAGGACAGTCCATGTGATTGTTACTCACAGTAATTGTCGGAAACTTTGTGAGTCTGGTCGTTACCATACAGGGTAGTGGAAACACATCGCAGCATGATCATAAGAGATTTTGGAAGACTTCAGAGAAAGTAGTTGATCTTCATCACTCTGGAGAGAGTTACAAAACCATTTCCAAACATCTGGGGTCTCATCCATCCAGTTTCTGACAGACCACAGACTTTAAGACCATGGCGATTCTAACTAGAACTGGTGATCCTGCCAAGATCTCCCTAAGGGCAGCCCGGACAATCATCCAGGAAGTCAAAAGACTGCCAGAGTAACATCTAAGGAACGACAGGCCACTCTCAGTGCACACAATTGAGTTCTGGACCTGCGTGGCTTTCGCCAGCATTGATGGAGCCATGAATTTAGAGCTGTAACTGCAAATCCTGAAAGAGAATGTTATTCATCAGCTGAAGGTGATCCAAACATGAGTCATGTAGATCTGTTTATACAGTATGTTTAGGACATGTATTCTAAACAAACAAGCCGGTCGAGAACTGGAAAATTGAAACTTTTAATTGAGAAGGGTAATTTCTTCTACTGCTGTGTTCTAATCAATACACTCCAATAAAAGTAGTGCTAATTCAGTCCGCTGGAGGACTGACTTCAACATGCTTGAGTGAACTATTCAAAATCAGAAAAAAGAAATTCAAAGCTGAAAATGAATTGAGCAGCACCAGAAAACTTGTCTAATTTCAGAACAAGTGAAGACCAGACTGGCTTTGATATGAAGTATTTTCCATCTGGGGAAAACACTGCACAGTTCTTCTGGGAATGCAGATTCCCTTGGGACTTTGATGAGATTCTGGTATCAGTGAATCAAAAGCAACCTGATATGTAATATTAGGAAATTGGCTCTCCCCTGTTTGTTTGCTTTTTGTGATTTTATTAAATGGAAGTCACTCCTCTTGTTTCTCTTTGCAGTACATCGAATAGTTTTCAATACTCTAAAAGGATTCAACTATGAATAACATGTGAGGATGTCCAAACACGCTTTCTACCACAAGATAATTGTCCTAGTCTGTGGTTTTGGCATAACTGATACTGTGCTACATACTACTGCTTAATTGGAAAATCTAAATATTAACATGGCCAAGTTCCACAGCTTTCTGAGAAATGCTGAGGAGTATTTAGTAGCACTCTTTGCAGGCATTTGTGAACTTTTCATTCTGCAATGGAGAAACAAAAACGTATTCAACCCCACTCACAAAAAAAAAATATGCTGGAGCAGATTATACTGTATACCTTGAATGCAGTTGAGCTCCAGCAGTTTCTACCTGTCTTTTCTTCGTTTCAGCGAGGATCTCTGGCACTCTTTCCAACATATATTCCTTGTGCACGTCAGCTGAGTATGCTCACTGTCTACATACAGTAGCTTCACAATTTATTTCAGCACAGGACTCAGTGGCCTGTGAGAGGCCATTAGAGCACCTGGTGAAAACCTGCAAGGAGAACATACACATGCAACACAGGAGGAGCCACTGTCAAACTGAGAACTCAAGAGGCAGCAGTGCACTTAGTGTCACTCAGTGGTTCTTATGTGTGGTATAATTGATATGACGTGATCAATCTGTTTTGGAAAGGTAACGGATACAGTACATCATTGCTCCAAATAGTAAAGCAAAAAAAAATAATATCTGTCTGACCACTTTTTGAAAACTTATCACTAGCTTCTGCAAGCTGTCATTTGAAAGCCTGTGGCTGAAATATTTGACTTGTAAGAGTCCTTCATTCGACATCACACAAAAACTAGTCAGAAACTATAAAAAACTATGGTCAGATCAGTACACAGTGTGTATTTAAGAAACTAAGTGCCAGTTGATTGGTTACAGGGGTTCATTGGTATTCGTTTGGCTTATACCATGGATACTAAAGAAAGAATTGATGAAGAAGCTGAGGAGCCTGTGCAATCAGAGCGATAGTCAGTGGATGGGAATGAACTTTGCAGAAGCAATCAGTGTGGATCACCAGCAGCATGAAAAACAAACTGCGAGTGAAACACACATGTAGTTGAAGCAGCATACTGTGCATCCAGCTTTGGCACTGTGTTGTTCCAGGCAGAAGAATCCTCAAGAAAAACAGGCCGATCTGCAGTTTCTGTAGTTCGGTCAGATCCTCCTAAACACGATATGGGGACGAATCATATTAGAAGCTGCTTGAGAAACCTGCCTAGCTATAAGGGGACCACGTCCCTTTCACTTTCACAAGGAATGAGCCAGGGAACTGCTGAAGGGGAATAGATAGGGTGATGGGAGGGGTGTGAGAAAGAGGTATGAAGAGAAGTTCAGAAGGGGAGATATTTACGTCCATGTACTGGATATGCATAGGAGAGCGGAAGTGGGTGAGAGTACGATCTGACCTTCCCACTGAATTTCTGCTATAAACTCCATTTTGACATCTCCTCTAATAAACTGACTGTGTCCACCAAAATCACCCCCTGGAAGGTCATAGCCTGATTAGCATGAATAAGTAGTAGAGGAATTCCCAGGCCTAGTAAGACAGCCTTGTGGTTAGAAGTGCCCATTTCCAGTGCTTGTAGACAAGAATGGCCCACACAACAGGAAGAGTCTGGTAGAGGCTTTAGGGAACTGTAAACCAGAGATATTAGCATAGGCCAAAATCGCTTTGTATTAAAAACCAAGTATTCAAATGAAGTGACACTGAAACTATTCTTAGCCCAGTCTCTCAGAAATGAATGACAGTAAAAACATCCCTCCACCAGAGCTGTAAGATTTTTCTGTACAGTCACAGCTAGTAGGAGCAACCACATTCAACAACAAGTAATTATTCCGAAGAAAAATATTAAACTTATATTTTTATTATTTTAATGAAAGAGGATTAAAAGAGAAATCACAAAAATGACAAATATATTCAGAACTGAAGAATTAACAACACTATTCTATTATATGCACAGCATATATTCAGACTGTTACTAATGAATACGCTGTATTACAGTATACTGAACTTCTCCGGGCATCGGATTTTGACCTGTTCCCCAAACCAAAAAGTATGAGTGGGAAACAACCAAGACTATTGATCAAAGCTCATGCAAGAGAATTAGATAAAATAACGCTTGGTTTCAACTTTAGATCCGACTGACTCAGTTTTTCGGATACAATTACCTCTCTGTGCACCATCCAGGCCAGAGAGTTTCTGATAAAGAAATTCAGAAAGAGGCAATAAACCACTCATCTGAAACCTGACTAGGGCCCCAAAATCCAGCGTCGAGCTTAAACAGTTTCTAAATACTGCGTGAATGCTAACCCTACCTGGGGTGTGAACTGAGCATTTCCACGATCTACAGTATATATGAACTTCTCTAATCTTCTCTCCCTTAACCAAAAAGTATGAGTGGGAAACAATCAAGACCATTGATCAAAGCCCACGAATGAGATTCAATCATGCTTGGTTACAACTTCTGATCTGACTGACTCAGTTTTGGGATACAACTACCACGCGGTGCACCGCAACATCCAGGCCCCAGAGAGTTTCCGAATAAAAAACGTTTCAGAAACAAGCAAAAAAACACTTGTCCTAAACCTGACTTGGGCCTAAAAATCCAGTGCTGATCTTAAACATTGTCTAAGTAGTGTGTGAATGTTAACCCTAACCCTCCTTGTGGTGTCAACTGAGCATTTCTGCGATCTACTGTATATAGCCAGGAGGGGATGTAGTCTGCTTCTTTTTCAAACCCAGTCCCATTCTAGAATATTTCTGAAAATGGTGGACATGCTTTGTTTTGTATTTTATTTTTACCCCTGTGCAAAGTACACTGCTCTAATTACCTTTCTCAGCCATGAGGGAGATAAGGGCTGGTGATGAAAAACAGTCTAATATTAAGTGAGGAATGAGATGCTTGGGCATTTTCCATCCTTGCTTCCAGAAGAGCAAGATCTGCCCTTCTCAGTATTGCAGGGAATGAGCCAGGGTGCTGCTGCAGGGGTGTAGATGGGGTGGCAGGAGGAGTATGAGGGAGATGTGGTTACAGGACGCTCCTGGTGTGAGACTTACAATAAATACACAGGCAAGTGGAAGCATGTGGGGTTCTGATCTAATCTTCTTAATTTCTTTTATAACGTTATTGTTATTCCATTTCAGTAGATCGGTGAGATCTTAATGAATGCAAGACAGAGATGAGATATACGTCTTATATTTAGCATAGCTTGTGGCTGGGAACATTCTTTCTACGTCTACACATAATTCCAGTAAGTTAGTTAAACAAGGCTTT